AGCTGATTTAAAAAATGCGTTAAAAGTAGAGGTTTCAGTGAGAAATATTAAACCAGAAGCAACACTGATTGATGGATGTGCAATGATCCATAGCGCTTTATACTGGCCAAAAGGTGGTAAAGTGTCTGATTTATTGGTTTCTTTACGATCGTATATTTTAAAGATCTTAGCTCAAACAGATGTTTATCTTCTGTTTGACAGGTACCATGATTATAGCAATAAATCAGATACCAGACAAGAAAGGTTATCTCAATTCCGACGATTTCATAACCTTAGTTCTTCAAGTCCTCTTCCAGCCAAACAGATAGCCATGAAAGTGACAGACACTAAAAAGCAATTAATTGAGATGGCGAAAGATGACTTGCTCAAGAATATTCCAAACCATTCAAACAAACTGATCATTACAGCAGAAGCTGAAACACCATATCAAGTACATTTAGGAGTTCAGACGATAAGAAATGATCTAAAGTCAAGACAGGAGGAAGCTGATGTGATTATCCCTTACCAAGTATCAGAAGCAATAGCCGATGGAAAAAAATCTGTTAAAGTAATTTGTGAAGACACTGATGTTTTTGTTTGCTTTGTCACTGTTATAACATTAAAAACTGGAACATAGATGTTTATATGACTGATTTCACATAAGGAAAAAACATTATATCAATAAACGATACAGTAAAGAAACATAAACCATTGATCCCTGAATTGTTATCTGTACATGCTCTATCTGGTTGCGACACTGTACCAATGTATTTTGGAATAGGAAAAAAGAAAGCTCTAAAAGTCGCTGCCACGTTGAAGTTATCTTTTCTTGGTGAAATAGATGCCACTGAAGATCAGTACTTATCAGAATCAAGAAAATTTATTGCTGCATGTTATAGTGCAAAATATGAGAGTTCCTCAAAAAATAGGTACATCCAACTATTATAGTAAATAATTTATTTTGAAGATAACTTATGTTTCTTTCAAAATGTAATAATAAGCCTCTAATTATTACTGTACTAATCTAAACAAATTTTGTTTCGGATTGTCTTTCTAATAAACTATAAGTTTCTGTTTCTTGCTGTAAAAAGATTAGGACGCTATTAATTTTGCTTCCATTGATGTTGAAAATAAAACTTACATCGTAAACATATAACTGAGAGCTGACTATATGTTTTAGCTTTGGTAATTATATGTTTTGATATGCTTTTTCTCCTATTTTTAACCTTAGACAGGTAATTTGGCAACGAAGAACCAAAGGAGCCAAAATAACGTCAAAACCTCCTGCTTTGAAATCCTTGCCACCAACAGATGACGTCCTTGATTTCAATATCAAACGTGCAAGATACCAACGTCTGATTTGGGGCTCCTGCCTTCAGTGTGATCCTCCGGCATATGATCCATGTAAGGTAGGGAAAAAAGACTTCTTATATCAATAACATATTGTGTCATGGAGGTGGGAAAAATGAATTTTACCCACAAATATATACGATTTAAGAATTCTTTTGTACTTTATTATCTTAGTATGGTTGGTTAAAAGATACTGAAACCAAAACGTTACAACCAATTATGATGCCTAGGGGAATGAAAGCTGCTCCTGATGAAGTGCTCAAAATTAACAGCTGTGTCTGCTCAGGTACTACTTTTAAATATAAAAAGCAATTCTTAGAAAAAATATTCCCAATCAAATACCTTCAATTTTAAATTAACTTGCAAACTTCAACGTTCATAAACATTGATTAAAGTTGTTATTATAGTTTTTCTTCTGAACGAAGTGTCATTAATATTTCATAGTAGGATTGACCATCACAACTAAGCATTTAAGGTAAAATAAATGCTGGGAAAATATGCTTTAAAATTATACTTAATATTTAGTTTCGAAATGCAAGTCAATGGCCTGTTCCTGCGCAAAGTCACAGATTGGATGCACAGAACATTGTAAATGCGAGGGAGATTGTCGAAATATATGGAATGCCGGTGGCTATGCGGAAGATGATGGTAATAATTCTGGAGAAGAATCAGCAAGTGAAGATGAAAATGAAACATGATAGACAATGTGATAGGATAATGTTTTATTAACCTGTTTTCAAAAATTAATGAAACATATATTGTAAATGTCACTTAATCGGTGTATATTTGGGTTTTTTAGTGAAAAAATGTTATGAATTGGCCTATCCAAAAGTTTTAATATCATCTAAATATATTAATTTGCATTAAGATTCGCTAAATAAAACGTCTTACAGGAGCTTATGCTAAAAAAATGATATAAGAAGTATTTTTGACTATCAAGTATTGAAATTTTGGTACCAAGGAATACACGGTTTTTCCGATTTTTCCCATTTTGCTAGTAGGTTATATTTTGCACTTGCCCAGGGTTTGGGAAGTGGCAACATGTCCTAAAATACTTTCATATAGTCCCTGAACACATTTCTGGAAAAAAGTTGCACTTAGTATTTTTGTCGAGGTACCCTTAACTCAGCCCCTGACTACTAAAGTCACAAAACCACCTCAAACTGGACCTCGCCCAACTGAAAAAGCAACGTTTGAAACCTAGCAGTCGTACGTCTTGACTCAGAAACGTGACTAATTCCGTGACGTTCTGAGCTAGAAGTCTCCTGAAAATCCGGGCAAGAGTTCTCAAAAGAACTAGGGCCTTTAGACGTACTTCTTCATTCAGAAAGGTAACTTAGAACAGCAGCAAACTCACTTTCGCTAGTGGCCATGCATATTGCAATGTTTTCATGTGCGTGACAGCTAAGACCAAAATGCAACGCACGCTTCGCGCTACGTGACGTAATAATGCAAGTTGCCCATTTGCACTGAATGGAAACGCCTTAAGTGCGGTGGTACATTCATTATGTCGTGGAGTTTTGGCAATGGCACTGGAAACCTTGCCAAAGTCGATGGGAGGATGGATTCTATCAGAAACTACTGTCCAATTACTTTAAACGCGTCGAGGCTGTTATATGTGCCAAAGAGCAAACAAATCTTGATCATAGCATGATTTTCATACTATTGAAAGTGTCTAAACTTTTGCAGTGCTCAAAAAACAAAACTAGCTAGCTATGTATACAGCATGTCACTTCTTTAAGGAAATAAATATTTTTGTTAAGTAAAATAACACTTGCATTGCTTTCCATGACATTTGTGTATGTCACGCAGTTTGAATGAATATATCTCACCTAAAATACGCAAAATTGTGACGTTCCTTCTGGGTTGCCCAAACTTTTCCATAAAACTGTATAAGAATACATGAGGAAACGGCTATTGACAACTACCACAACATAAATTTTGATACAGGTTTTACGCAATGGATTAACACGTGACCTACACGAGATTTGACTCTCACCTTCGGGATACAAGTCTGCCGCTCTGCTTGTTGAGCGAAAGAGTAGAGTCACTTCTCTAGTAACTGTACATGCATGAGACATTCTCGCCAAGATAGCAGTTTCTTAATGGCACAATATTTCGACTTTATTCAAAAGCTATCATGAGAGAATCAGAACATAAATTCTGACACGGTTATAGGCACAATAGTTGACGAATGTCTTATATTTGCACATCTCTTATAAGCTGCCCATGAACGTGATACTCTCGCCACAATAGCAGTTTTTTCATGGAAATATCATTCGACATTATTTCAAAGTGATCGTAATAGAATGAAAACATGAATTCGGACAAAGTTATAAAAAAATGTTTACAAGACATTTTACTGGTCTCTTATCCCTGTGGGCTTGGTAGCTCAACAGATAGAGCGGCGGGCTATTGTCCGAAGGCGCAAACTTCGAATAAATTGTCAAACTCTTTAATCATAAATTAATCTCTGAAAGGCTTCCCACGTTACATATAAGTGATCGCAAGAATTTAATTTATTTCCTGCTTATAGTTTGACTCGTATCATGTTTTACAGTCATTTTGACTTTAACACAGATAGTATTTTCCTTTTGCCTTTCACAACAAACTACTTTAATGAGAGTGAACCGAGCAATATGCAAACAAGGCGAATAAAAATGTTGAAATGGCCTAAATGCAAGGATAATAAGGTTTGGTAAAAATTATATAAAAATATCGGTTCGGCACAATATCGGCATTTTATCACACATCGAAAATATATCAATTTATATAATAACCAGAAGAATTTAAGCAATTTCATGGGTCGAGAGATATTATCTTTAAGAGGAAGGCTTTTTTCACTGGCCAGCAAATAAACAAGCAATGGCTGATCAATGTTGTTGAAATTTTGTTATCGAAGACGAAGTACAAATCAATGGTTGTAAACCGGGTTCAGATACGTCCATTGTTTCAACTAGGCATTCTTAATATCTTTATTTGCCCATTCTCGGATAAATTCAGGTAAATATTCAAATAATTCGCCGCTCGTTTCTCATTTAAAAACAAGAAATTTTCTGTGACGTCAATTCCGTGCGTCTGTCCTTCTATAGATCATAGCTCTCGACCAATGATATTGTTCAAATTCTTCTGGTTATTGCATAAAACTGTATAGGCAACGGGTTAAATGTTCTCCATTTGTTAAGATTCAATATACAAAGTACGACATGTATCAAGTGCTTAGTTTTTGAACTAAGTATGACCATACCAAATATGACCAAAATACAACAAGCTTATTACTTGAATCGCAAAATTGCTTTTTAGAATTGCTTTTCAACACGCAGAACTTGGCTTAGCCTCATAGAACATTCTCTTGAACCAATCAAGCGAGCGAACGAAATGACAAATTAAAATAAAATTTAAATCATTGATTATCTGTCTGCAATACTTTCCGAAGAACTCTAAGAACGCTCAAAACGGCATTTTTCGTCATATCATCAAGAATTATGACAGACGGACAGACAGGCACTTTTTTAGTATAGCATAGTGGTTGTCTGCGAATGCGCAGCGGCTATAACCACAAAAATTGATTCATGGTGAAATGATAAAAATTATGAATGAGTTATTAGCATTATATGTCTTTAAATAGTAATGAACATGAGAGTCTCTCAAATATCGCTCATTGTACTTACTGTCCTTTGCCAAACCAGTTTCCAATAGCTTCTACAACAGCTGGCCAACCCGATGACTGTAAATAACCATTAATAACATTCAATTAAATAATAAAAAGCAGACAAAACAAAATCTCTTCGATTTTGAACAAACGATTGACAGCACCGTATACTACTGTCAGTGGCGTAGCCGGCTCAATATTTGTGAGGGACACTATTAATATATTCATGTTCTGTCGAATTAAGACTCTTTACAATAAAATTTTCTGCTGATTATGTAAAGCATACATGAATAATGCCACTCTCCCTCCAATTATCGATGCTAGCTACGCCAATAACTACTTTCAATTAAATGTCAACGAGTAAAACGAGATCTTAATTTAGTCAAATGTGTTCAGGATTTCAATGAATACGTTATGCCGTTGGCTGTTTAATGCTTTTCATATGTTTTCATGGAAAATATGCCACAAAATATGTCACAAAATAAGCAGCTAATATTTTGACACCAACCTACTGCCGGTCTGACATAAAGCATGCAGCACACGAGAGCTATCAGCTGATAGCTCCTTGTTTACCGTTCGATTCTGTTGAGTTTTAGGGCCAAAGTAACCTTTTCCTGAATATCAAGCATGTCTGATATTTTTGGACCAGCGAAACGAAAATCTTACAGTTTACGTTGAATGCGAGCTGGACGCTCACATACAACCAGGAACCAATTAAAGAACCAAACGACGCGTTCTTTTACGACAAGTTCAAATATCGGCTACACACAAAGAGATGAACGCGTACATTTTAGAAGACAAACTCGTCGGAGTCATGGCCAAACTATTCTTATTTGCTTGATTGCCTTATTTTAAAAACTAGAGAAAAAAGGCTAAATGCGCATGAAAAAATTGCAAAGGAATCAAAGCAGACAAATTACAAAATCTTTGGAACAAATTTATTTGTTGACCGTAAATACATGCTTCATTCTCAAGGGATAGTATTTTTAAAAAGGTCGTTGAATGAATGAAAGCAATCACATAGTTTGTAGCCGCCATTTTGCTAATGGGTCATGTGATTATAGAGCGCTTCGCTATTGCGTTTTTATTTGGCGATATGCGAGAATTTAGTTCGCATTCAGCGACAACAGTGAGATTTTTGCCTCACATGGCCAAAAATATCAAACATGCTTGATATTCAAGAAAAGGTTGCATGAACCATAAAACTCAGTAAAATCCACTCGCACATAGCGAGCTATTGCCTGAGCTAACGTGCACGAGTAACGTTTTGCTCAGCTGATTGCTTTTGTGGTGTGCAGCATCTCTAAGTCATGATGTGTTTCAATATATACATTTGATTCCACTGCACATAACTATACCGTTGAATCTTTTTATTTGAAAGAATGGTTTTAGGTTTGGTGCAAGGATACGGTAATTCATATAAAATCTCAAGACACTATCATTCGTTTAACTCATTATCTACGATTTAATGCAGTCAAACGTTCACTGACATAATATTTTATCAAACAATCTTTCGGCTGTCTGCCTACCTCCTTCGACGGCTTGTAAAAGAAATAAATGGGATGGGATGTAATAGTATAAATACATAAGTAAAACATACGCTTCTTAAATAAATACAAAAAAAATAATAAATACATACGCTTCTTTATTTATGTATTTATAGTGTTACATCCCATCCCATTTATTTCTTATATAACCCGTCGAAGGCTGTAGACAGACAGCCGAAAGCTTGTTTAATACAATATTATATCAGTGAAAGTTTGACTGCATTATGTATAATCCTGATATCGGATCACGCATTTTTTTTTTCTATCTACGAATTGCTTAACTAAATTAACTAATAATCGTTTGGCTAGTTATTCCTTTCTACCAGAGCGACAACAACGAATTTAAACTTTACAAACCCAACTGTTAAAGTGCAAATAAGACATTCGCAGCCTCTAGTCAATAAATGATAAGATGACACATGAAGGAGTCAGAGGGACGTATTTTTGTAAATTACCTGCGCAAATCCTGCCAACACCTAAATAAAATAAATTAACAATCATTAAAGTAATAAGCAATTCTGTAAACATTGTTTATTCGATCATTTCGAAATTGTTGTTTTCGTAACAAATTTCATATAAACCAAGCACAAGTAAAAGCCATAAAAAATCCGCCAATCTGGCATTTAACCCACCAAAAAAGACAACCAATAAGTCATCATACCTGCATTAAAATGAAAAAAGTCAGCGAATGAATCTTCAAAAAATATCCAAAACCAAAGAGAATACTGAAAAAGCCACTTAAAAACATTCCAGCAGTCAAGAATAATCGTATGTCCATGTGTTCAGCAACGAAGCCACTAAACATAGAATCAATAAAGAATAGCAGTATAATATGGTAGCAAACATATGAGGAGTATAGCAAAAAATATTTTGTTTTAACAAATAAAAATTGATGGAATCTAGTAATACCCAGGACAGGCAGACAGTTTTAAATAAAACAAAATAAAACAGATTCCGAAAAAAGACATCTCGTTTTCTTGATATTCAAGATGATACAAGAGTTTTAGACAACAGATTGTGTAATATTTCGTCTTTATTCCAAAGACATCGTCAGACTAATAGTTTACAAAGCAAGATGTGAAATAGTAAATAATTATATAACAGTTTCACAGCCTGCTTTGTAAACTATTAATCTGACGATGTCTTTGCAATAAAACGAAATATTACACTTATACCTTTGTACCATTTTGAATATCAAGAAAACGAGATGTCTATTTTCGGAATCTGTTTTATTGTGTTTTGAATATAGTAATCGAAAAAAAGATTGCTCTTCCATGAAGATCACGAAAAATGCTTTTTATCAGGATAATCATATTTATCTTACAATATATAGCACAAACTTAATTAAGCTGGTACGAAATTTCTTTCATTGTAATTGCACTTTTTCAAAGAATTTGTTCAAAGCTATGATTAGAGAATCGTGTTTTTCATTGTATACACCATATTAACATTTGCAACCTTTTGCAAGTGTCTTGTTAGACTAAATAAGGGATTTCCTTTGACAAATTGTAAATAGCACAAATCACATGTTTAAACAGGGTCAAAAATTTGGTATATAGTCACATTTTCCTACTTTTTGTTCATATGGCTAAAAAAACACAACCGATCAAGATTGTTGTGAAAGCTATTAAAAATAATTTCGGAATGCTGAGTTTGGAGTAACTGGACATGAGAATATACTTCTGAGGTCACGAATGGCAATTTTATGGTAAAAGTATTCAGTCTAACTGTGTAAAAAAATATCGTTTTAGCACTTTTGTAATTGCTGAATAATAGGCCTGGAAAGATTTAATATAACTTGAATTAAGTCACGACAAAAAATAGAACATTTAAAAAAAAACTTAAATTCATTAGAATCTTTGATGGACCTGGTTGTATCGGAGGATACCGACATGTATGGCATACACTAAAGTTTCAAGAAATTGCTGTAGCAAGGGTTGTTGTGCAGCATTTAATGAAACAACTCGATCCTCAAGGGGTAGAGCAAAGAAAGGCTCATAAACTTCACCGGAGAACGTACTATAATCTGGGCCCAAACGAGGTATGGCACTGTGATGGCTATGGTAAGCTAAAAACTTTCGGCTTCCCCATACATAGATCCATTGATGGCTGGAGCAGGAAGGTATTATGGTTATACAACACACGCTCAAATAATCTACCAAAAAGTATAGTAGCGGTATTTTATATCGCTAAACAGTTCAACAACTAAAAGGATGCCCATGAAATTAGTGTCAGATCTTGGAACTGAAAATGGCATTATGGCTTCGTTGCAGTGTATTTTTCGAGACGATTTGCGCAGTCATCAATATGTCCCATCGCCAAGGAATCAGAGAATAGAGTCTTGGTTGTCTTATTTAAGAAAAACTAGGACAACTCAGTGGATGAAGTTCTTTAAGGATTTAGAAGAGCAAGAAATACTTAATAAAATGAATTGCAATCCGATTGTTCTACAAATTTTGCATTTGCAACTGGAGGATCAGTAGCTGTTTGGTCAGCATTGCAATTCCATCAAAACTTAACTTCCTTCCTTAGCATTGCAGAGCACATACCACAATACCTAAAATAACCAGTTGATGAATTCATGTTGGCACATTCAAAGAAATTAAAAAATACATTACATATTAGCCTCAAAACACAACAAAATGTCCATGATATATTCCAACAATGCATCTACACGGTTTGTGTAGCAGCCTAGGCTGTAGTGGTTGTTACTTACATGTCAAATAAAATCAATAAGCTCAGAACAACAGTATCAAAACACAGAAAAATAATAATTAGTCTAAAAAAATTACTATAAAAAACATTAACTAGTCCACATATAACGTAAAAACGGCTAATACATAGTATGCAAAAATATATATTTTTATGTAGTATGTTAATATAATTCTATGTCATGAGGAGAACAATTTCCATTTTTGTGACAAAGCAAACAATTCATTCACTATTTTTTAAAATTCACATTTTTGTAATGTCATCTCATTTAATGGTGGCACTGTAATAACATAATCTGCTCTTGTCAGAACCTTTATTTAGAATTATTAGAAGCTCTCTGTATGCACGTATGCCATAATCAATCCTTGTTTTAAAGGGTTGCAATGCCAATGCATCTGCATGAGCACAAGCTTCTATACAATGGTTGTTACTTGTGCTTACAATGGTAGTCTTTTAATACCAGTACATGAAACTTAATAATGCTTTACACTCACATTGTTTCTTTGTCTTCCATTTTTCAAGTCAAAAGAAATGGCTTAAATCTCATTTCCTCATATACTACTACAGCGTTTCCCAACATTCACGATGAATTATTTCTTGGACTACTATGAATTTGGCACCTGGCACCATATTTGCAATGCACATTGGGCACAACAATCAACACTACATTAGACTAAAATTTATCATTCAAAACGACGAATTAGAAGGTGGTATTTATTAGCCTTTTTTACAAAGTAAATTGAAAAAAAATTTCTAAAATGCGCATGACATTAACTTTCTCCATGAATATCAGAAAAGCATGAGAAAAAATCCAGGAATACACAAACGGAAACGCGTGGTCTTCCTAGTTTTGATGATTTTCTTTCATTCGTTTTCGGGCATTCTCCAGATTTTGGATATGCAGAACATAAAAATCTATCATATATTTTAAAATGTTTAAATTATTTCTACCTGTAGTTTTCAAATTAAGACCAAAACAGGAAAGACAGAAGTAAAGTACGAGGAATTAAAACTACACGGTAGATTAAACATTAAAGCTTAGTTTATTCTTTGATTTTGTTTTATCCAGTGTGATATTTCTGTACAAAATTAATGTCATTCGCAGCTAAGAATTTTTTTATCAAATATCAATTTATTTAATAGAAAACGTGAATAAAAGAAGTCATCGTTTTGAATGATATATTCCATTCAAAATGGTGATGAATTTTGTAATGGTTGTGGTGTTGATTTTTGTGCCAAATTCACAATAGTTGCCGCAAACATTCAATTTTCCTAATCTCTTGCTTTGCAAAGTGAAAAGTATAAAAATCCGCTTTAACAAATACTTACATTTTATAAGTATGGATTTTTAACAGTATTTCATGTCTCACTTATGTTCCACTTTCATTTTTTAGTTGAAATTACATTGATCAATTATAGCGCGTTTAGACTGATTGCCGGAGTACGATACCCTGGTTCAGGCTAAAATCTGCAGGCCCTTCACACTACGTAGTACCCACTAGCTTCGTCTATTTAAAACTTCATGTTTTTCTTTGTAAACAAGTCTTGAAACCATGTGCTGAATACGTGCCTCTCTGTACACGTTACTTAGGTGTCGTCGTTCACATTGGTGCCGTTCCCGAGCACCGTACTTGGGTACCACCTCTTTTTGTGGTGCCCAGACCTGGGCACTTATACACAAACACCATCAAAATGCTGTGTTCATATTGGTGCCCGTGCCTGAACACCGTGCGAGAGTACTCAGTCTGAACGCTCTATAATAAACTTTACAAATGAAATCAAACAAATTTTGGATATTGAATGATTACTGATAAAACTGTTAAAAACAACTTTGCTAACAACAATCCGATTCTGAGACTCTTATTTTGCCCCTCACTTTTCAAACCTCTCCGCGGCCCCGGTATATGTCTCTCACATGCGCAACTGCACCACTGGTTGACAATATTTTATAGTAGAGAGAATACGTAGCTTTTACAGTTGGTTGATGTAGAATGTTTAAAATACTTCGCATAAGCTATATATCTAATCAAATAATCACAATAATTATACGTGTTCAACTATCTACGTCACAACTCATTAACATACCGATCAAAAAGTTCGCAACAAAATGGCTGAAAAACGTTTAAAAAATCACTTCAAACATCGAATTTAAATTGAAATCGCATAAATAGAATCCTCGAAATCTAATCTTTTATTTTAGCAGGTAAAAAAAGGTAGGGATGGGGGGGGGGTGTTGAAATTCGTAATATAAGCAGTTTGAGTTGAAGATGAAACGTTACCTTAGTAAAATTATCTATCCGTGGCCTTGTTTAAAGTTTTATTTCAGGCAACAATACTTATACCGAGCATATCTTGAAGTATAAGAGGTTGGACTGGGGACGCATATATAGTTGACTAGCTATACAAAACCAACTATAATAAGGTGTAACAAAGTGTTTCAACTAGCTATAAGGTGTCGAAGATGCGTAACAAATTTCTTTATATCCGTTCATTTTTACCTTATGAACATCCCAACAGCATAAGCCGCAAGGAATGAGGCATCAAGATATCCTAGAAGGGATTTCGAGTCTTTTCCATCTATGAAATGATAAAACGGTGAAATGTTGATGAATATAAGTTGCCCTTTATAGCTTTTAAAGACGATCGTACAAGAAGCTTAGCCTCTTAGTCCTTTGACATATAAATCATACAAGTCTTTAGTTACCACTTAGGCGCTGATTACATGAGCCCGGGTAGCTAGGATTCAGCCAAGCGTTAAATGATTTTGGCGAATGGAAACGATTAAATATTAAACATCAGATGTATCTTCTCGAGCAATTTCACTATATTCTGATTTAATAACTAAGCAAAACATTTAAATTAAAACAGCTAATTTGGCCTAATTTGAGAATTACAACAGGAATTACATGCGGCATTTAACAAACAGTTCTAATTTTTAATCTTGAAGTTTTGCCTCCTATCAATCCCTCGAAACATTTCACGCCTTACTGAATCCCGGTTATCCGGGAGCATGTAAACAGCCCCTTAAGGCCGATTTCCATTCAGTGCAAATTGTCGCGCGATTGACTTTTTGAGATCACTTTCTTTTCAATTGTAGGCTCTCAACCGGAACAGTTTCAACACTGCAGCACACAATTCAAAAGTAAATGTCGAAAAGTCAATCGCGCGACAATTTTCCCCTACGGGAAATCAGCCTTTAGTTTGAATAGTTTATAAGGTAAACTATATTAAAACAAAAACAAATCGTCAAAATGATAGAAAAAATGCTGAGCCGGTATCAGCGCATTATGGTCAAAATGATATGTTTTTTTCAAAACCCGTGTTTTCATTAAATAGGCAACTGTATCTTGTAAATTGAGCTGTTTAAAGTGGTATAGTCAATAAAACGTTGTTTCACTAAAGTAGTTTCTCACGTTACGTTAAATTGACATCGGGCGTATTGAGAAAAGAGAGTCCAGGATTGAAACAGAACAACCACTTAGATTAAGACATGATTTTTCCTTTGATCAGATTTTTACTCGTTAGAATATAGTTATTAATTTTGAAAGGTGTCGAAAGATATGTGAGTTTTTGTCAGTTGTGGTATGTTCCCTGATTCTGGGGGATAAGTCACGTGGATTTTCTTTAAAGCCCAGTTCTCATTCATCACAAAACGTCGGCGATACAGCTTTTGCGACGTCGGCGAGCGCTTACTATTAATGAAAACGCGTTAAAATTTATGTCGCCGATTTTTTGTGACGATCGCCGAGCGTCGGCGCTGCCAAAACGGTTTGTTTCTTGCGATCATCGCCGATCATTACCGACAACTTTCCATAATCTAGTCCAACATGGCTGCTTTTGAAAATGACGAAGAATCAAACTTCGATTCAGTGCAAGCATTAAATTTTCTTGCTGTTAAAGCAAAGGACGATGATAGAAGCTTTATGAAAATTATTCGTGAATTTCCCACGATATACGACAAGCGAACAAACGGTTTTCGTGACAAACGAAAGAAAGCTAACTGCTGGCAAAGAATAGCTGAATTGCTTGAAACTACAACAGAAGAAGTGGCAAGGAGATACAAGACTATTCGTACTGCATTTTCGCGCTTTCTTTCAAAACAAAAGTTAAAGTCTGGATCTGGAGTAAGCGATATTCCGAATATTGATCAAAGGTTTGAGAATCTTCGATGGCTTATAATCCATATGACTTCAAGACAAGGGACAAGTAACTTAAATCTATCACTTAGTCAACCAAACACAACCAAAGACAGTGTCTCAAATATAGTTACACTTGGTGCAGAAGATCCCGACTTGGTTGAAGAGTTATCAAATAGAGAAAATGATCAATATGAGGAAACTAATATAACATTAGATATATCTGTAGATGACAATTTTCAAGGCGAAAATAAGAGACACGGAAAATGGGACCCACCAAAAGCAGTCAATAAAAAAGCAAAAAAGAGATGGTAGTGGTATGAGCTGGGTTGGAGCTAAAATCAATAACAAAATGCAATTGAAAAAACTGATGAACAAATTAAAGAAGCCATGTCAAAGTTGGACAAGTCCTTAAAATGTTTGGAAAACAGCCAAAAAGATAAACCTAATGTGGAGAATGATGAAGATTACTTTTACTGTTTGAGTTTAGCCCCCAGACTGAGAAGGCTTGATGGAAAAAAGAAGGCTTTAATTAGGAACTTAATTGAGAAGGCTTTAATGGAAGTTGAGTATGGAGGTTTTTCAAAGCCAAATTACTTGAATTCATTTCCAACTTTTGTTGGTTCTGTGCCAAATAGACAAGCAAATTATGGGAATAATTGAAAGTTTCATATCAGCTATTGTCACAACAGGTTTATATCATTTGGTTTGTTATTTGATGGATAAGACATTTACTTTATTGAGTTTCAGAAGAAATTTGTTGCTTACAGTAATAAAACTTCACTACTCAGTGCACTAACTTTATGTAATTTTCCAAAAAATACAACTGTAGAACTTTCAAAGATATTAAATCAATTATAAGCACTTCAAGGAACTCTGAATTAATCATTTCCACACAAAGTAAGTTACTGCACTATTTAGTTTGTTGATAACTCAGTTTTTAGCAAGTAGAGTAACATACTGATTAACTTATTATTGCTTATATTGTTTAAAATTAATGTTCATAATATATGTTAGTTGGAAATATATATTTTACAATGTCAAAAATCTTGCAATGCAGTGTAAATGTTGTAGATAACATCAGAGTCAATAGTCCTGGAGCGAATAATTTCATTTGCCACCGAGCATAAAAAGATGTTGATAGGATAAATTTTAACTCAAACGTTTTTTGCATACACACAAGTATGCTAAATTATGCTGCAATGAGGTTGGCTTTTTACAAATAACTATCACTGATCTGTGAATAAAACCATGTGGTCAACTATTGTAATAACAAGGCTATTAACAACATAATAATTTCATTTATATGAAACCTGGAATTAGTGGCTAAAGGTTATGCTAAGGTGCGAATTATGGTTAGACTATACTCCAGACAATATGTCAGTTAACTTTAAAAACTATTAACATAAGTGACTTGCCAAGACAAGGATCCCTCTTTGCTTGTAAAATATTTCTTGAATTTTTCTCTAACTTCAATAGCTTCACAGGAAGATCTATTATTTGCCCTTCCAACTGTGAATGCTTCCATTGCACCATTATCATCTAATGTAATGCTTCTCCAGTTGCCAGGTATTATATTACCTGTACTATCTTCAGCATGTACAAAACCAGCTGGGATGTAATGGGCATTGTATGTTAGCTGTAAATAATTATGCAGGCATAAGCATGCTTTTATAATCAAGTCAACTGTTTCAGGCTTGGCTTTGATTGAGCAGCGAAAAATCCTCCACCTTGCTGAAAGGATGCCAAAACTGTTTTCTATTATTCGTCTGCAATGACTAAGTCTGTAATTAAATATTTCTTTCTCTTGTGGTAATCCTTTACCCCCATATGGCTTCATTAACCATGGTTTGAGCGCAAAAATTTCATCGGATACAACAACATAAGGCAGTGTATGGCCAACAATGGAACTGCAGGATGGAGCATTTAATTCATTATTTGACAAAGCTTTGCCAATTGCTGAATTGTTGAAAATTTGTGCATCATTGTCTCTTCCATTAATTCCAATATCCACTAATGTAAAACAGTACCTAGCATCGCACATGGTCATCAATACGATACTATAAAACTTTTTGTAATTAAAAAAAATTAGATCCACTATTAGCAGGGCATTCAATTGCAATGTGCTTTCAGGTATGTGGTACATAAAGAATTCCATATTCCACTACATGTTTCTCTTATGACATTGCAAACTGTGCTTTTTTCCAAACTGAAATTAAAGGCTTGGGATTGTTGGGAATCCCCCGTAGCTAAATATCGCAAAGTAATGACAAGTCTTTCTCCTGCAGAAACTGGTATTCTGCTGTTGCATTTCTTTTTTGTAATGTAGGGGGCAACAAGATTTAATAGATGCTCTAGCCTCTCTGGATTCATTCTTAAAAACTTGAAAAAATACTCTCGATCGTGCAATTTTAACTCTTCAACCAAAATATGAAATTGACTTTCCTTCTGGCATTTCTTCAACATTTCTCTTATCCAAAACCTTCTCTTCCGTGGTTTGTTTAATCTGAGTAAAATTTGTTTTTTCCTTAACAAAGCCAATAAATACAATTGAAGCTGCACAGAAATTAAAATATTCAATTTCAGATTAAAAGGAGCCATTTTTTTCTCAAAGCGCTTATCGGCTATCACCGATTATCGCCGATGGTGAGCGATGCTTTGCGATGAATGAGAACACAAGGTCATCGAGAGGCCATCACCGACCATAGACGATAAACGTCGCCGATACTAGCGACGTTTTGCGATGAATGAGAACTAGGCTTAAAGTTACTGCCACGTGCATGAATATCGAGCCATTTAAGTACACACTTATCATCATGGTATCCAAGTTTAGTAGTTTAGTCACACGAACATTTAGGAAAAGATAACAGAACTTCCAAAACAAACTTCTCTTAAACTGTTGATATATTGATATATTATAGTCTATTCAAGGATTAACATTGTTATAGTTATTATTGTATCTTTTACCGCCAAGTTATATTGTCACTTAACTAAAGCGAACTTTCTTTCTTCAATAAACGCATCTATTCCATTAAAAGTTAACAGGTTATGGGCCCAGGATATTGAAGATGGACAGTCGAACAATTAAATGGCTTAGTGGAAATGCTGATGACAATCTAGCATGGAGTACAAAATTCACAGAGTTTATGCAAACGAAAGGGTTATTCAATCCGCTACTTGGCAAGGAAATTATACCAGAAGAAATCGCTCCTTTAAATAGACCTTTTCAACGTTATCGTAGCCATATTGCAGGGGGTGCAAAAACATTGGGCCGAGCGCGCGGTCACGCATGGCGTCCTTTGAACTTGACCGTCGTTACAGCGATGTTCTTGAGTTCTCAACACACGCACATGTATAAAGCAAAGTCAGCAAGTATCACGAGGAACTATTATTGCCAGTATTTGAGCGCTTTTTGACACACTTTCACCCAGGAAATACATATTTATGAAAGCGACTAAATATACAACGTATAAATAATGCCTTGAAAACGTGCTATATGAAATAAATGTACATTATAAATATTTGAATTAAATGAGAGTTGTTACGTATATGTGTCATATTATGCGTATAATTTCAACTTACTTTTAATGTTTTTAAAGTTCTAGCTGATGTAATTCAGTCTTTTAACTGCAAAATCAGTATCTTAAAGACTTAAATAAATTATTTATAAATTTAAAAAGGAGTCTGGATGTAAGCTAATGTGCAATCTGATTGATTCCTTACTAAACTACCAAATATTTCTTTGGTAGAATAAATAAAATGAATGCAACATTTGAGGAGTAAATCCACAACGATTAATAATATTACAAGTACATCTAATTGTTATTTTTGCCCAAGATTTTTATCTTACTAATATATTAATATAAGATTACACATAGTGTACAAATGCGCTAATAGTTCTCAGAATAACTGCTCAATATTTTTTGTACGGGAGTTTACTTTATGGCAACTCCAGCGCAAGACTACCGTTGTTGATACATTTAAACCGTTTAATAGATTAAAACATAGCGCACAACAGACACCAAATTTAACTGAAACATACAAATGAATGTGCGAATAAAATAACTTTTCAGCAATTAAATTTATCAAATGGTTGCTCCAGAGTCAAGACAAATACAAGCAAAAGTGAATGCAAATATCAATGTATTATTGAAGAAATTGTGTTATTTCTCATTTGTGACCATTATAGAGTCGTATGTCACTCGTATGTACTCTAGATACCGCTGTACATATTAGGAATCTCACCGTAAGTGCAAATAGCAGTGAAGGAAAGAGTCCATTTGAATTTTTCACTGGGAAAACAGCGAGGAGAAATCATCTTAAAGAATTTGGATGCACTGCTTACGCGATAAAAAGAAAACTAAACGTGAGAAAACTGAATCGTAGATCAGAGAAAGCGAAGTTTATCGGCCATTACAGCAACAGTACAGCATATATATTGCAGGAGTTTACCACAAAGAAAATCATCAAAGCTCGGAATGTAATCTTTAAGGAGAACGAAATTCAACCATTTTCCCAACAGGAAAATACACACAAAGAAGATGATTGCCTCCTGGAATGTCCAAACCTTCGAAAATGAGCTTTTAAACGAACAACATGTTAAGAAACCAGTTGTGGACGAAATGGGGGAAATTCCGCAGGAAGCACCAAACATATTGGAACAGTCACAAAACGAAAAATATCACAAAGTAGAACCACTTCCAAGAGAAAATAGAAATAGAAGACCACCTGAAAGATACAGAAATCCTTATACCTCATTTAACACAACTGAAAGAAATGAAAAAATCGTTGCAGAAGTGAAAACGTACAAAGAAGCCATAAAATCAACAAAATCTAAGTACTGGAAAGAAGCAATGAAAGCAGAAGTTGAAGCTCTGGAGAACAACAATACTTGGACACTTTTTGATGAAACCAATAACAAAAATGCGCTACCTGGAAAATGGGTCTATAGAGTCAAATATGGTGCAGATGGTGAAGTAGACAAATACAAAGCGAGGTATGTGGCAAAAGGTTTTGCACAGATCGAAGGCTTAGACTACTTTGAAACGTACGCACCAACATGCAAACCAGAAACATTTAAAACACTGTTAGCAGTTGCAGCCCATAAAGACTTGCATCTATGTCGAATGGATGGAAAGTCAGCCTATCTCCACTCTCGAATAGAAGACGAAATTTACTTGGAACAACCCCGAGGTTTCACTAAGGGAGGAGAAAACAGACAGACGTTGGTGTGTAAGTTGAAAAAGTCGATATATGGTCTTAAGCAAGCCGCGAAGAATTGGTATGAATACCTAGCAAACTCGCTAAAGAAGAATGAATTTAAACGCAGTCACAACAACCGTTGTCTTTTCGTAAAGAAAAAAAAAGACGAAAAGTTAAAGTACATCCTAGTGTGGGTTGATGACATCATAATTACTGGTTCACCAGAAAGCGTTGAAAAGATTAAATCAATTCTGGAAAGAAATTTTAAAATGGATGACCGCGGTGAATTACATTGGTTTCTTGGAATGATAAGTAAAGAAACAAGCAACGGTAGCGTTATCATCAGCGGAAGCGGAATATCAAGCAATGGCAGCAGCAGTGCAGGAAGCAATTTATCTCAGATCCTTAATGAAAGATTTTGGTATTTCAATAAAAGATTACACTCAAATTGGAGAAGACAAACTCATCATAGCTATCATAATTTGAGTTTGAGTGGGGGTGTTGATATTTTGATATAATATAGTATGTTCAAGGATAAACATTGTTATTGTTAATCATAAGACGTGATCAAAACGTATGTCGAACGATTATACCATCATAGTTATTATTGTATTTTTTACCGCCAAGTTATATTGTCACTTAACTAAAGCGAACTTTCTTTCTTCAATAAACGCAACTATTCCATGAAAAGTTAACACAAAACAACATTTATCACTTTATATTGTCAAATTTGTCACAAGAAAACATTTTACTAGATTCTTGATTATCATTAAGTCCAACATCATTAATTGACACTAGGGCTAATGAGTTTCTGGCGTCGGCATAAAGAGAGCTCTGTTACTAATTTTTTTTCAAAATTAACGTGAATTCAATTTCAATTGACGAAGTTCAATTGATAAAAGATTTAAAATAAATATGATTTCATAGTTGATGGCTTTACTAGTTAATGATTTGTCTAAACAAAACACTTGGGACAAAGAATAAAAAAAATAGTTCAGCTTACCAAAAGGTTCCCAGGCAGGACAGCTAGTATTTACATAATTGGAACAGTTTGCATTCAGGGTATCCTACAAAAAATCGAACGTAAATATGATTTAAGAGGAGAAGTTACACCATAAAGGAAAAGAGTGATGTATTACATATTTTAATGATTTCTGAAGATTGAAGTTTTGTATAGCTTTGACAATATACTTTGGTATTATACATTGATATTGTGGTTCACACTTATATTTTTGTAAAGGAACAGAGAAGAACTCTTTAGCTTTCTAATGAGATGCTTTTCATTTTATAACAAACAACAATGATCGAATACTCTTCAACTATTGAATAAAGTTAAGGATGTTTCACCGCCATTTTATACCAAGCTGGGTTTTCCCCGTGTTTTAACATGACTTCGTCAAATCGTCCATGACTGCATTCAATTCCCATGCAACGGAAGAAAAATGCAGTCTCGACTTGCAATTTCTTATTTGCGAAGTAGTCAATCATTTTTGATTGTTATGAAATAAAAAATATACCACCGAAAAGCAAAACGGCTCTTCTTTTTTTGTGTGTGAATAAATATATAAGCGTAAACAAAATATCAAATGCACTATACAGCATGTAAAAGTTCAATACACTTTTTCATAATCCACAAGATATATCATTGTCATCTATGCAAGATTAAATGCCGTATTTACTGAGTTTTTGGGTAATAATTACAGAGATTATAAATAGCACTAAAGGTGGCATCGAGGAGGAAATTTTAGAAGGATGAGTTGAGGGGCAAATTAGGGTCTCCGATGTATTGGAAGACAGCATCGAACAATATTGGCGTGTTTACATTGATGCTTGATGGTTTAAAGGTAACCACATCCATCAACAACTGAATCAACACATTTCCCACCAAGATATTCAACCGACACACAATACGCGTATGAGCTACAGCTGCGACAAAAATATGTAAGCTTTCATAACCAGACACAAGAAGACTATAGTAAAAAGACCTAACCCACAAACTACTCGGAACAAGAACAACCCCTCAAAGAACTGTAACTGCAGACAGAAACACCTATGCCCGACTAATGGCAATTGCCTGAAACCTAACGTTATTTACAAAACCGACGTAAAAAAACTACTGACAACAACAAAACAAACCCTTACATAGGTGTTACTGCATGCACTTTTAAGACACGATACCGAAACCACATTAAATCAATTACGAACAATTATTATAGGGCAAGCGTCACTTCCGGCTAAATGGCGCGCTTTGATTGGCTTAGAAACATTTTTGCCGGTCCATTATTTTCCCGAAATCGACCACGGTCTAAAACGCGTAATTTTTCAGTCAAATGTAAACAAACTTCGTCAAGCAAACAGCAAAACGCAAAATAAACGAAACAAAAAACCATTTACGAATGTGATTTGAAGGAAAAATACTTGGAAAACAGTTTAACTATCCAGACGATACCATTTATTTTTTATGGCCGAAAACTAGAAAAGTGAAAGCCAACCCGTAAAAAACAGCAAGGACGAAAAAGAAAGCAAGCTTCGTTTCAGGTCAAATAATGCCATATAATAAACCTTTTAATAACCTCGCTTTCTCGGTCTTTACTGAGATGTATCCGACTTTTTGTTACGGTCTTTTCTCTGTAAAGACCTCGCGCTCGGTTATTAAGGGCTTATAAATACCGCAACGAGATAGAGCTTTTTAAACAGACGTGGCACTGAAAGAAAACAAACGAAACTACAACGGGGACTTCATCAAACAACTTCCACCTCCGAACAAACACCAAAAAACCTTCCGTCTTTGCCTTGAAGAAAGACTACTAATCCTAAAAGAACGTAAAACGAATATTTTAAAGAAACGTTCCGATCTGTTTAGTTCATGCCGTCATGTAGCATAACACCTCCTAATCAATAGGATTAATATATATATATATATATATTCTCTAATCAATTGTATATACAGGAAATAATAAATAATGTTCAGGAGCGTATCTGTCGCGGGTAAAAAATCGCGTGTTGCGGGTAAAATTGCAGGAATAAATAACACTTATTGCATCGAAAAGTTAAAAAGTCGATGTTAAATTCTCAGGAATTCTTTATTTCTATGTATGCTCACTTGAGTGTGCTCTATGAATCAACGTTCTCTGCTGTCAACATTAAAACATGTCACCGGATTTGTGTTTGTTATACCTATCCAAATATACATAACGATGCCGTTAACAAAGCCGTTAAAATTCTCTTACAATTGAAATTGTAAAACCCAGTTCAAAAATTATTAGATATGGTTTATTTATATGTATAACTAGCACTTTCTCACGATTAAAAATTTGCTTTTCTCTAGCAACTAAGTGCTTCATATTACCATTAAAAGAGTCGTATCAAAGTAAATCTTGAATGGTTAGTGATGCTTGGTATTAATGAAAAGCTAAGTATGTCTTCGATAGTGATTAGTGTATAACTCGTGTATATTAACATTATATTTGGATACATAGAGCAAACACACATTGCCTATGAATCAAGAGTTTACGCAACGCAAATGAGGTATTTCTATATTGACAACAGAGAACGTGTATCTTAAGCCTGGCACACACTAGCGCCATCGGCTGAGCTGAGAGTTACTCGTGACTGTTGGCGCACGCCATTTTCTCTAGTGTGCGGTCAAGTTTTGAGCAATATTCGCCTCGCGCGCCATCGGCGCCGAATATTCAACATGTTGAATAAAATGGTGCACGAGTGAACATTGGCTCTAAGTGCGCGCGCGTGCTGAGCTATTATCTCAACACGTGAAGAAAATGCGCATGCGTTCAGCAACTTTTTTACATTCATCCATTGCTCTGTCAATTTTACATTGTTCTGTCTGCGGATGCTGCAAGAGAAGTATAGAGAATTCAACAAAGAGCTACATATGGTTTTCGTGGACCTTGAAAAGGCATATGATACAATCCCGAGGGAGCTAATATGGTACTGTCTAAGGAAGCGTCAAGTCCCGGAGGCCTATATTGAAACCATCAAAGATATGTATAAGCGCTCTACCACTAGTGTCGCAACGAGCGTTGGTGAGACTGAGAAAATTCAAGTAGAGGTCGGGTTACATCAAGGCTCGGCACTAAGCCCCTTACTGTTTATTATCATTATGGATGTAATCTCGGATGACACGACAGAGGACACACCTTGGAGTATGCTGTTTGCAGATGATTTGGTCTTGTGTGATGAGAAGAGAGAACATCTGGAAGGAAGACTAGAAGATTGGAGAAGAATATTAGAAGATGTTGGCTTGAAAGTTAGTAGAGCCAAGACGGAGTACCTCCCACCGAGTGGCTGCATAGGAAACATCAAGCTAAGAGAATATACTGGACCCGGAAATACAGATCTACCAAAGTGCGAGACATTTAAGTATCTCGGGACCACCATCCATCAGGATGGCGGTTGCAAGACTGAGGTTGAACTACGGATTAGCCGGGCATGGAATAAATGGAGGGAATTAACGGGAGTGCTCTGTGATAAGAAGATGCCGAAGAAACTGAAGATCCTCATCTACAAAACGGTGATACGCCCAGTGCTTCTGTATGGGAATGAAACATGGCCTGTTACAGACGACCTAGCAGAGAAGATCAATGTATGCGAGATGAGAATGCTACGCTATTGTCTTGGAGTCAGCCTGGAGGAGCACAGAACAAATGAAAGCATAAGAGAAGCGAATGTCATGAGTATACTGGAATTGATGAGAAGAAAAAGACTGCTGTGGTTCGGACATGTGTGCCGGCGTGAAGAAGATGTAGACATTCGGAGAGTTTATGAGATGCAAGTGGAGGGGAGACGGAAACGAGGACGCCCAAAGCATCGGTGGAAGGATACCATCAGGAGAGACATGCAGCTATGTGGTGTCAAAGAAGAGGATACCCAGGACAGAGCAGCCTGGAGAAGTCTGATAGAACTGGGTCTCCGGCAAAGACCCGCTACCCGAGCAGGACACAGCGGAGAAAGGTGACCAAAGGTGACCATTGCAATATGGCGGATGCCAGGGACTCGAGTTCATCAGACGAAGAAGGAATTTTGCTGCTGCTTATGTTAATGCGCCGAAGACGAAGACGTTCGAGAGCGTCTTGCAGAAAGACATGGACCAAACCATGGATTTCACGCCGTGAAACACTAGGAGCATCGGCTACAATAGTGCATGAGTTGAATTGTGAGGACCCAGAGAAATTCCGACAGTATCATCGTTTAGATAGGATTTCATTCGAGGAAATATTGAATATGGTGTCGCCACTAATTCAGAAAAACGACACAAAACTACGTAAATCGCTTCAGCCAAGGGAGCGATTGTCGGTAACATTACGCTTTTTGGCTACAGGTAAGAAAAGACATTAAAAATAGCAGTGGGTCTTTCAAAAGTAAAGGTATTAGAAACCATATATATTAAATGATGGTCTGTATTTTGTTTAGGGGAAACATTCAGAAGTCTTTCTTTTCAACATCGGATAGGTGAAAGAACAATATCTGGTATTGTGGAGGAAACATGTAATACCTTGTATGCAGTAATGAAGGAGAACTATTTGAAGGTTATTTAATCTATTCACTTATAAAACATACTTTTCTACATCATTTATTTTACCCAAACACATTCACAACAAGCCATAACTACAAAAATGTGCAAATGTGAATGTATCAATTTTGCCAGGCACCTGACATATGCATATAATCATCTCTGTATGATGCATTGTTTTCATCATACAGTGGTGGTGTTGAACTTGATGGCATACCAAGGCTTATATTTGGATTGAAATAATTTCTTTGTGATTGTGCACGAAGCACTTGTGGTGGTATTTCTTGAGTTGGTGCCAATAGACCAGCCTGTGCTTGAAAAATTATACCATTTATTTTATTTTGTGCAAGGTGACAAGTTCTAGGATCTAATTCCGAAAGTGCTTTTGCCACATAGACTCCAAAAGCATCCAACATGTTGCCACCATAATTTTCTTTTCTGCGTTTTCTCTTCTCGGCTATTGAATTTGACAAACTTTTAATCAAATTAAATTCTTCTTCAGCCTGTCTCTTCCTTGAAGTAGTTGGCCTTCGTATAGGCTGACTCGTAGACCTTGCTGCTGCACCATCCACTTCATGATATTCCATTTCATTTTCACTTTCATTAATATTTAAATCATTGTTGTAATCATCATCATCATCTTGGGTGAAACTTGTGTCTTGAGGAGTGCCAACGGATTCCTGAAATTTTTAAAATAAAAATCATCATTTTTTAGATCCCAAGAACTACCAAAGACTGGCTTCAAATTTGAGAGCAGATGGAATTATCCCTGTTGTTTGGGAGCTATTGATGGGAAGCATATTGCAATTCAACAGCCAGCAGACACTGGTTCTGAATTTTTTAATCATAAGCACTTTTTCAGTGTTATCTTGCTGGCTATGGTTGATGCGAATTACAGATTTTTCTATGTTGATGTTGGTGCTGCTGGAAGAGCTGGAGATGCTGGGGGGTTTGCTGATTCCGAATTAAGACAAGCACTTATAGCAAACTCTTTAGACATCCCTGAACCAAGTTTATTAAGAGGAACATCAACAAAAGTAGCATGTTGTGGGAGATGATGCCTTTCCTTTGACATCATACATGATGAAGCCATATCCTCATCGCAATTTAGTCAAGCAAAAATGAGTTTTTAATTATAGATTGTCCCGGGCACGCCGAGTTGTTGAAAACGCTTTCGGAATTTTAGCACATAGATGGCGCATATTCTTAACAACCATTAAATTATCCCCAGACAAAGTCACTGACATAATTTTTGCAGCCTGCTGTCTGCACAATTTCATGATTGGCAAGAACATTGGAAATTACAGTGGTGTTGCAGATGTTGAAAATGAAGATCATACTGTAATCCAGGGAATGTGGAGAACTGATACATCACTGAATGGCTTACAGCCAGGCAGCAATCGTAATGCTCCAAGAAATGCAAAATGCCAAAGAGAAGTGTTGACTGACTATTTCAATAATCAAGGGTCTGTACCATGGCAAGACAATATGATTGTGTAGAAAATAATTTTATAGTTTGCTTATAATTAAATATACTGTAATGACTTTTATTAAATAATTTCATCACTTTATGTCATATAAATAAATTGAGTAAGAACTTTGAACGAAACTTACAGAGTCAATATTCGAAATTGAAGTCCGTGTTGCAACATGAGGTGCTAGAAATTGTAACTTCTTTAATATCCAAATGGTTCGACGAGATGGATTTTTTCTAGCACTGCCACTAGGTGGAGGTTTTTTCGCCTTTACGAAACTATTTCGCAGTGATCAGATTTTTGACTTTACCCACTCAACTAGATAGAACAAAAATAATGGATGCATGATGAATGATAAGTTGTCACATACAACATTTGGCACAACAGGTTATAGACACACAGAGACCCACGTTTTGCCTGTACGTTACCTGTTTTTCCGAGTTTTACAGCGATTTCTTCGTACGCATTTTCACGTAAATCCCGATTTTTAAACTCGGGACATCGCACGTCATAAAGACAGGGAAAATCTGGCCAAATGTCAGCCAAATGATCTTCCAACAAAGCTCCTGCTACAACGACACTACCAGAGGCCATGTTGACATGATTGAGGGAAGAACGCATGCGCATTTTCTTCACGTGTTGAGATAATAGCTCAGCACGCGCGCACACTTGGAGCCAATGTTCACTCGTGCACCATTTTATTCAACATGTTGGATATTCGGCGCCGATGGCGCGCGAGGCGAATATTGCTCAAAACCTGACCGCACACTTGAGGAAATGGCGTGCGCCAACAGTCACGAGTAACTCTCAGCTCAGCCGATGGCGCTAGTGTGCGCCAGGCTTAAGATGTTATATAATCATTTAAAATCCGGAGAAACTTTTATCTTTTATGCATTAAATGCCTGGATTACCAATTTTCAAACTTATAATGTTTGTATTAGGTTATATAAACGAAAAGAAAAAACTACATAGAAATGAATAAAAATGACAAGTAATAATTGCTATTTACAGGTCGAAGATAGTGTTAAGATGTTGTATTTGTTTGTTGAGGTTAGGTTTACATTTCTTGATATAAAGGGCTTCTTTGAGTTCAAGGGCGAAAGGAGTGTGAGCAGTGTCTAAGATACGGAAGCAGGGTTGTGTGTAATTGTTATTGCAGTGTGGTGACGAGAGTAAGTGAACTTACCCGTAGAAATTACCCTTTTCGACTATTGAAAAGTTACGTTTCCCTTATAACAATAAGTAATTCAACTTGCAAGTCGTTGTCTTTACTGCACCCAAGCTTCTTTGAATTCGCGTGCGTGTTTTATTTGTGCGCTATGCAAAGCTCACCTTTATAGGTTTGCGCACACTAGTGACTCTATAGTGAACCTTTTTATACTTGTGGAGATATTGTTCTACACATCCCAACTAGCACAAAAAAGGGCCACCCTGAGCGCAACTGCACTCCAGTGAGATGCATATATCACGTTGAAATTAAGCTTAATTACCTAACTGTATACCAAAATTTATAGCTTGTTTGGTAAGAGAGAAAATACCATCGAAAGTCGTGTCCCAGCCTCAAGGTCTTGTCTTAATGTATATTTTAACCCTTACAGGAAATTATTACCTTCACAACAGATATTGGTTTTCTTGACAAATGGTAAGAAGCATAAGCAATGAATGTGGCAATAAAAATGTGGCAACGATATCTATAATAAAAAAAGATCAAATAATTATGTATTATGTTTGAAAGATATTCCTTCCAAAAAATGCAGTTGACTTAAGGTCAGTTCAACAACTGCATTTAATTTTTGTACAAGTTTCTTATGTGGCACGTAGTTAGAACAATAATTGGGAGTAGGGACATATACATATAACATGCCATAATAGTTTCTTTTGAAATCAATTGTTTTTTTATGGATTATAAAATGAATATATGAATATGCCCAACTATCGTTCTTGCTATGTAACTGTTTCTTGTGTACATGATTGTGATCCACCTCATTGTGTATTCATAAAATTGCTGTTTAATGAGACTTTGTCCATAATTTTGTTAGAAATGATGTTTCACCATAAATCTTTTACATTTCATACATTAAACTTCACAAAACGAAATTCTTTTTAACATACCTTTTGCCCAAAATATGTGTGTATCTGACTAGTGTCTAGTGCCAAGCAGGTGTCTAAGAGGAGCACTTGGAATCAAATGTATGTGGTAACCTTAACCATTTTTTGCAAAAGTATGTGTTAAGTTAATACCAACACCAACGCATGAGCTTTGCAGTCTCTACCTTATGGATTCTGCCCAGTTGTGAGAATTTATAAAGGAATAGAATTCCACAAAATCAAAAAAGGAAACATATGAGCTATTTTAATTGATACAAAGTTTTTTATTTACTTGGTCAACTTTAAAATGCACTTCACTCCACCCAAAAAACTTTAACAAAGTTCAATAAAGAAGAGAATTATTAATATATGGATCTACATTTAATCAAAATTATCCTTACGTCCTTATAAAAAATAAACAAGTCATGTACCCTTTTTTTTTGTTAATACAAAGGTTACTTGATGTACTTAAGTAGCAAATCAATTAAGTTAGAGAACATTGACATCTTTATATAACTAGCAGCAAAAAGTTTGTTATTTTTATAATTTATATTATCTGACTTTAGCTGTAGATGATTTTTTATTGTTGTAGAATATTGATAGTTCATCTGAGTAGACCTGGTTGGTTACTTATTGTTCTATATATATGTATATTGCAAATATGTGTACATGTTGAAAAATGTTGAAAGAAAATATTTGTTTCTCGCAAAATTTTAAAATCTGTTAGCAAGAGTAAGCCAAATAACTACAGTGTTTCTACAGTTAAGAACATAGTTATACACAATACTTTAATATCAAAAACACATGATTTTTTACTATTTCATGTAGTTGCTCAATACTGCTGCAAAAGAAAACAATTGAAATTTATCTTTGATGTTGATGTATCAATGTATAATATAAAATAACAGCAATATGTGCTGAGTTTGCATCTGCCAGCATAAATATGGGAAACTGATCTTAGCTCAATCAATCAAATTAATTAAAGAGAATTCAAAAATCAATCATCAACACATGTTACAAGAAAAATTCATGCATTTGTTTTGAATTTATCTGTTTTGCATTATTGTTCTTTTACAAAAGATGCTTTTCGTGTTCTCACATGTTTAAACAAACCTTGCAAACATTTCAAAATAATCTCAACCTTCAGTCTCAGTTTGCACTGATCTACTCCCGAGTTCTTCAAAACGTTTCCTCAGTTTGCATAAGCATGTGCAAACACAGCACACATATCTTTTTATCTTAAGGAATATCATTCTAAAACATCTTGATTTGAGAAACAATCACCGGTTTTTTAATCAGTTGCTCTTGCAATTAACTTACAATTTATCCCTGTCTTTCTGAAACCATATTAATAATCTGATACCCATTGGAACTCTACTTTTATTCAAACGAATAGTAGGTTCATGTATTTCAACATTTTCGTTGTCGAGGACCATTTTTGCACGATACAAACAGCTGAAAAATAAAAGGAAAAAAATTACGCTGGTCATTAGTCGGATGATATAAATCAATTTTAAATATGGCGAATTTTATCAATGCATGTTAAATATTTAACAAAACACATTTAACATACTTTTCAGTAGATTGCATCTGCGACGTGCGACGTTAAAACGAAATGCTAACTTCAAATATGTCCGATGATCCGAATAGAATTATACTTCGACAAATTTGAATTTGTTTATTTCACAGTTCACTCGCAAAATGCATGCTGTGTTCCAGGATAAAAGGGACATAGGGTATCTTTGTCGGATGATCTCTTGATCTCCACAATCTCCACTCACTGACCTGTATACTAACTATGGCAAGCCCAATGAACTCTACTACGGTGGCCTATATCCGCCATGGCAAAATATTTCAATTACAAATCTAAAACATTAGTAACTATACGTCACAAAGTTAATACTCACGGCAAAACATATATACTCAACACATTCATGAATTTGAACACATTTTCCACAACAAAAAGAACTTTTACAAAAAAGTGAGTCCACCATCATCTCTGAAAATGACTTTTTATCATCTTCATATTTTTACAAAAAGAGCATTATTCATGCATTTGAACACATTTTCCAGAAAAAAAATTTTTACAAAAAAAGTGAGTCAACCCCCCCTAAAAATCAATTTTATCAAATTTTCATATTTTTACAAAAAGAGCAACATTCATGAATTTGAACACATTTTCCACAAGAAAATGAACTTTTTCAAAAAAATTGAGTCCACCCCCCTGAAAATAAATTTTGTCATATTTTCATATTTTTACCAAAATAGAATCATTCATGAATTTGAACACATTTTCCACAAAAATAGGAACTTTTCCTAAAAACGTGAATCCACCCACTTGAAAATGAATTTTATCATAAAGCCATATTTTTAAGAAAAGACCATAATTCATGCATTTCAACATGTTTCCAAAACAAAAGAACTAGTACAAAAAAGTGAATCCACACCACCTGAAAACGAATTTTATCATATTTTCATATATTTACAAAAACAGCATCACTCATGCATTTGAACATATTTTCTATGTCAAAAAGTACTTTTACAAAAAAAGCGTGTCCATCCCCCGTAAAAATGAATTGTATCGTAAATGCATTTTTCACAAAAAGACCATAATTCATGCATTGGAACACATTTTCCACAACGAAAAGAACTATTACAAAAAAATTGAGTCCATCATCCTCTCTAAAAATGATTTTTTATCATATTTTTATATTTTTACAAAAAGACCATAATTCATGCATTTGAACACATTTCCAAAACAAAAGAACTAGTACAAAAAAGTGAGTCCACACCACCTGAAAACGAATTTTATCATATTTTCATATATTTACAAAAACAGCATCATTCATGCATTTGAACACATTTTCTACATCAAAAAGTACTTTTACAAAAAGCGTGTCCGTCCATCCCCCGTAAAATGAATTGTATCATAAATCCCTATTTTCACAAAAAGACCATAATTCATGCATTGGAACACATTTTCGACAACGAAAAGAACTATTACAAAAAAATTGAGTCCATCATCCTCTCTAAAAATGATTTTTTATCATATTTTTATATTTTTACAAAAAGACCATATTTCATGCATTTGAACACATTTTCCACAACAAAAGAACTAGTACAAAAACGTGAGTTCACCCCACCTGAAAACGAATTTTATCATATTTTCATATATTTACAAAAACAGCATCATTCATGCATTTGAACACATTTTCTACATCGAAAAATACTTTTACAGAAAAAGCGTGTCCGTCCATCCCCGTAAAATGAATTGTATCATAAATCCCTATTTTCACAAAAAGACCATAATTCATGCATTGGAACACATTTTCGACAACGAAAAGAACTATTACAAAAAAATTGAGTCCATCATCCTCTCTAAAAATGATTTTTTATCATATTTTTATATTTTTACAAAAGGACCATAATTCATGCATTTGAACACATTTCCAAAACAAAAGAACTAGTACAAAAAAGTGAGTCCACACCACCTGAAAACGAATTTTATCATATTTTCATATATTTACAAAAACAGCATCATTCATGCATTTGAACACATTTTCTACATCAAAAAGTACTTTAACAAAAAAAGCGTGTCCGTCCATCCCCATAAAATGAATTGTATCATAAATCCCTATTTTCACAAAAAGACCATAATTCATGCATTGGAACACATTTTCGACAACGAAAAGAACTATTACAAAAAAATTGAGTCCATCATCCTCTCTAAAAATGATTTTTTATCATATTTTTATATTTTTACAAAAAGAGCATTATTCATGCATTTGAACACATTTTCCAGAACAAAAAGAATTTTTACAAAAAAAGTGAGTCCACCCACCTGAAAACGAACTTTATCATATTTTCATATATTTACAAAAACAGCATCATTCATGCATTTGAACACATTTTCTACATCAAAAAGTACTTTAACAAAAAAAGCGTGTCCGTCCATCCCCCGTAAAAATGAATTTTATCATAATCCCATATTTTCACAAAAAGACTACAATTCAGACTGTAAAAGTTTTGTGAACCCACAATGTTTTGTGAACCCACAACATGTCTCCACTCTCCAGGGAGGACTTCATGAGATGCAGTGGTTGAATCACTGAAATTGAGAGGGGAATATCTAATGCTAGGTATATTAGCAGCATCAGTAAATAACAAGAAATTGTGAAGTGCAACACATGCCTTCACAATTTGAACAGCTTTCTCAGGGTAAAATTCCATTGGTTTTCCACGAATTCGCCATCTAGCAGTCATGATACCAAAGGCATTTTCAATTACCCTTCTAGCTCTGGAATGGCGGTAGTTATAAATTTTCTTGGGATTGTCAAGGTTATTACCTTAAGAGTAAATAGAACAAAAATGGCATTAAGATCAACTGCTTTAGCAATTTACTGAGGCTTGGGAAACTCTACCAACAAGCAGCCAGGAAATTCTTTTGATCGCAATTCTTGTGGGGAATAAAAAAACATTTTGAATGAGTCTTACTGAGACATAAATTGAATAAATTTATTTCATTTTTGAAGTCACAAACAGTTGATATAAATTTACAAAAATATATGAAATAACAATTTTTTGATTAAACATAAGAAAAATATTTTCGATGAAGATATGATCTTCGCACTTTATTGGACAATTTATAAGCAATTGTCTCATAAACCTGAAAAAATCAGGTGACTCAACCTGGTTAGGTGTCAGAGCACTGCACCGGCACCGCAGAGGTCATGGGTTCGAATCCCGTTGAGTCACCTGATTTTTTCAGGTTTATGAGACAATTGCTTAAAAATTGTTCAATAAAGTGCGAAGATCATATCTTCATCTAATTTCAAACAACGCACTGCATAAAACATTCATTTAACATTCATTTCACGAGAAAACATGAGCCCAACAATATTGACCTGCTCACCACTGTGTGACTTCATAGCTCAGTTGGTCAGAGCACTGCACCTGCACCGCAGAGGTCATGGGTTCGAATCCCGTTGAGTCACCTGATTTTTTTCAGGTTTATGAGACAATTGCTAAAAAATTGTCCAATAAAGTGCGAAGATCATATCTTCATCTAATTTCAAACACCGCACTGCATAAAACATTCATATAACATTCATCTCACGAGAAAACATGAGCCCAACAATATTGACCTGCTCACCACTGTGACTTCATATGACAAAGAATGTAGTTTGCATGAGTTGTTCTTGTGTAGAAGAAAACTGATAAACGAAACTAAAAACCTTGTTGTTGGTATACTCTATAGGCCATCATAGAAACGCACAACGCTACACTACTTAAAGAATGGCGGTCAGCTAAAAATGTCCAATTCGATTCTACGTAGATCTGACAATTGCTTAAACGTTGCTCATTATGGTAATCAGCTTATTCTACCTAACATATCTCTGGTATTGAAGAAATACTTTGTAAACGTTCACTGGTATCGAAGAAACAATTTGTAAACGTTCACTGGTATTGAAGAAATACTTTGTAAACGTTCTCTGGTATAGAAGAAATACGTTGTAAATGTTCTCTGGTATTGAAGAAATACGATGTAAACGTTCTCTGGTATTGAAGAAATACGTTGTAAACGTTCTCTGGCATTGGAGAAATACGTTTTAAACGTTCTCTGGTATTGAAGAAATACGTTATAAACGTTCTCTGGTATTGAAGAAATACGTTGTAAACGTTCTCTAATAATGAAGAAATACGTTGTAAACGTTCTCTAGTATTGAAGAAATACGTTGTAAACGTTCTCTGGTATTGAAGAAATACGTTGTAAACGTTCTCTGGTAATGAAGAAATACGTTGTAAACGTTTTCTGGTATTGAAGAAATACGTTGTAAACGCGACAGGCCAATTTGAAACACTGTTCTACACTTTATCTTCACAAATATTGTGTTTGCTGTAACGTTTCACACGCTAAGTAGCTCTAATTGAACACAAAATACACTACAGCTACCCTCAATAAGAAAATTCAGTGTTTTTCCTGTGCTTACCTTTTATTGAGCGATGAATGTCGTCTTGCATAGCCAACCCATGATCCACGTAAACTTTGCCTCAAATCAAAGTTGCCGCGCGACGAAAGTATTCCAATGACCAAATCATAATGAGAATAATTCTCTGCTGTCAAGAAGAACATTAGTTTAAAACATTAAAGAAAACAAGTGGAAATACAAATACAAAATTGGACTATGGAGGATAAAGTTTTTAGATAACATGGTTAAATAACACTAGCGAAAGTTTCAATAATAGATCACTCCTGACAAAGACATAAGACTGGAGCATATAGTGACACTCACGTTTCAACATTAGATCACTCCTGATGAAGAAACTACGCTAGAGTATATGTAAACTTATCTTTCAACAACATATCGTTCATGCTCATGATATTAGATAGACGTACGACAATCTCTAATTTCATATAAATCTCGATAAAGAATCTGCTCCCCGGAGTTGACATGCTATTAGATAGGCAACAAACAAAGATGAGATAGCTGTACAAACCTGTATTATCGCAGCAAAGCTTCAAATCTTTAACAAGATGATTATAGATGTATAACACGAAAATAGCGATCAATATTAGTAAAGTTGGCTTAAGGATGTCTTTTAATGTAAACATAAGTTGAAATTAAACAGTTACAATTAACTATAACGTAGAAATATCCTTCCCTAATTAAAATAATCTTCACGTTATCCTCAATAACGAACTATACACATTGCTGCATTTTAATACATACGAACTTTGACCTCGGGTGTGTTGCAGAAACGTCATGTAACCAGTCTCAAAGTAGCAATATAAATTAGCAAACGTTGTGATCTATAACTTGTGAGAGTGTTCAATAAAATTGTTGAAAGATACAGTCCTTTGGTGATGTTTGAAACTAGATACATATTGAATGTTCATTATAAGATAAGTGCAGCCTTTCTTAAACTAAATATTCACCTGTGATAAATCACCCAAATCGTTCCATGCATTCCATTTTGCCTTTCCAACAAAGTCCAAAGTCCCAGGCTTTGGTGTATTACATTGCCTAAAGAACCCTGGAAATGTATATTGTTATTTGGGTTCGTCTTATTTTAACTTTGATTGTATTGTATGGTGGGACTGTGAACAGTTATAATTGAAAAAATTCACTGTGCCTTTGCAAAATGTGATTCAAATGCAATGATGCACATTGTGCTTAAAATTTAAAGTCACCATTTAATTGAAGAGCTTGTAGTTAGGAGATACAACAACTAATGTTCAAGCTTTATGTAAAAACCGGATACAATATCTTTATGAATCGTAAAATACCTGCTTAAAAAGGGCGTACATCTTTAACTTCAATTCATTCCCTGGATCTTGAGTTAAAGATCCTACTTTGTCTTTTGCTTCTTTAAACTGGTGAGAGATATCAGAGAACTTCGAACCATCTTCGTAAAAATGTTCAGGTTTAAATAAGGTCGAGATAGATAGTTCACTATACCACGACGAAAAATTGCATATGCTTTACAAACTCTTGGCGTCACGTTCATTTGCTATAATAAAATTTACAATTAATATTTTTTTATTATTGATTGAACGTTGGACGAATAAGAAAATTGATATCTAGAAATGACATGAATGAAAGGCAAAAGTAAATCAAACATGTGACTATTTTTGACCAATGACATTAGGATGTTGATAGTGGTTACAATGGATGATAGTGAATAATTATGGACATGCTTTCAAAAAGGCGTATTCTGAACAAGTGGTATGTTAACTATATCGTGTATATTATCCGACTGGTGCAGCTTAAGAAGAAATTTCAGGGCTTCCATTTACTACATTTTTCAAAGTTCATGTATGAGGACAATATTTCTTCGCGTATTCATATTTTTTAGGAGTTTGCAACATCAAAAGTTCGAAGCAAGGCAATCGATCAACAGGGCTCAGTCACTCAGTGCTATGCTTAGTACTTTTTTAAATATCTATCGGGAAGTCTGGCTGGGAGAATGGTACTTAATTATGACTAATTCTAGGCTAACTTTGTCAATCCAAGAACACGTGCAGTACTGGTTTTTTATAAATCGGGGTATTAATTTTTGGGTACACTTGCAAAATTTATCAATTCAGGAAGAAATTCAGACGCTCAAATGACTTCTTTTACAATAACGTGGAGAGGAAAGGAACACACAAAAAGATGATGCGGTAGGAATTTTTAAAGTGTTCTTTTTATTGTTTCTGGTTGCACAATTTCATATTAATTTATTTTTATTACCACAGTTATATTGACAAAAGTATGTGTACAAATTTATTTATGCCCACAATGTGGTGTAAGGAAAAACACTTATTCGGAGCACATTTTCCAATTTCAAGTCTGGATTCTCTACATCCTTTAATCACAATGTCATATATGTTAATAGAATAGCAGTGTGTCATATGAATCTCAATTTTTTGAACAAGAAAATGAATTTGGGGATTTGGTAAGTTTACATGTATTGTAAAACTATGTAGATATAAAAATGCGCTATGTTTATGGGTTTTTTTTTCATTTATATGTAGAATGAACAAAGTGAAGATATTGCTGAAAATTATGACAAGCACCAAGAGTTAACCACCAAAACACAGGTTTTTAATGTACATATTGATATTGTTTCTCATGAAAAGTCATTGGAAGTGGTTATATGTAGGACTGCTTTCACTAGAAATAACTAAAAAATTTGAAGTAATTTAAAGAAGGCATGCATTATTTAAACACTTATTAAAAGTCTGTACACATTTTAAATTAAATAATGGTCTTTATTTGTAGGACTCTGAAGATATCTTTACCAAGCAATCTATCTCTATTATTACAGAGGAACCCAAACAACCATGTCAACATAGTCAAGTAGTTCTCACATATACAGTTATACTTTATACTGTTTACCACTAGTCATGTTTTTAATGTGTTATAAATTGACAATATGCTTGTTGATGGCTTATGCATGAAACACTGTGTAGCAAAACTTTATTAACATCTGGTAGAAATGTGCTCAACAAACATAAAAATATATTACAATAGATATTTTTGAAACAGTGAACATTAATAATTACTGTGTACTTGCTCTTTCAGAATCATTTGCTACCCACTGGCCACTATACTGGGCTATTGTTACAGTTTGACTTTGCATCAAATGTATCACGTCAGCAATCCTTTGTTGTTCATGATTATAATGCAAACAAAAGAACAATTATGGTGATGTCAAATTTTATTTCCATAATTTCAATGTTGGGTATATACCCAACTAAATGATATTACTCAATACGCTTTTTTTGGTGCTATAATCTGAATGTATTTTTTTTTTCAGCATAATTCATTTGTATTTGTACATCGATATCCCCACCTATTGCTTGATGGCTATGGTTGGATATTGTGCTGCTCATGTGATGCAAATAGAAAGCAATTTGTTGAAGCCCTACCTAATAATATACAATTAGATCCTCAAAAAGGTATGTAAAATAGATGTTACTGAAATGAAATGATTAAAACAGGCCAAACAACATTTTTGTACTTGTCAGATATACCATATCCTAGTTGCATACACATATTAGCAATGGAAAAAATATCTGGTTGTGTATGATAGAAAGTTTGGTTTTGAAGCTAAAGATTATATTGAAAAAAGTAAGTGTTGTGTGTTACTCTTTCAGGATATAAGGTGTCTGAACAGCTTCACCAAATTTTGACTTACACTTACATACTATTTGTTTGAAGACCCTTGTCAAAGATGTGAGAACTTGTTACATATTAATCTGACATTGCATGTAGTGAATGTCTCAAATTTGTATTTGGCTTATTTTTTCAATGTAAAGTTCTTCATGTGGTATGGGAGAAAATGTCTTCATCCTTAAATATCAGTTTATTGGACATTTCAAACCCTTGTGAAGTCATCGTTCTGTGTTTTTACAAGACCCTTGTTCGACATTGTTCTTATTACATGTGGATGTTAACCAGCACAGCTTTACAAGCAAAAATATTGTTAAAACTTGTGAATGATTATTTACACAATATATTTATCTCATCGAATTTCTTTTAAGAATGCAGAATCCACATCCATGATGCAGTCTGTTTTCAGTGATCATTCCTACCATGAGATGCAACCTGAAGAAATATGTTTTGTTATGTGAAAATAACTTTTTTGTACAAATACACGTATTGTTTCTCAACCTTCTAATACCCCACAATTTGTTACCATACATCCTGTGCCTAAGTTCAGGAGCTTCTATAAAGCTTTTAGGGTGATAACAACAGGGCAAATTGAATTTATTTATGACTATTGAGGTATAAACATTCATACTCACATACATACATAGCCACATACTTACAGTACATAAGTAGTATAGTACATGGGGGTAGGAGATCAAAAAAAGTGTACTTTTTTTTATCTCATACGCCCCATGTACTATACGGAGTTTAACCGTGGGTAAAAACTATCTTTAGAAATAAATGTTAAGAAAGCATCGTTTCGGAGGCGATCCGGCAGCGCAGAGCACTTCGTGCTCGAGCAGGGGGATGGGATCGCCGAGAATTCATGCGAGCCTGGTGGGTAAAAAATTCTAGCTTTAGCTAGAATTTTCGGCTCGCCCCCGTGGTGTCCGAAGGACGACAGACATAAAATATGCTCTTTACAAAATATGGAATCTATATGTTTTTGAAATATATAGGTGCGTTTAAATTTTACAAACAGTCTTTACAAACAAATGTTAACAAGCATCGGTTCGGAGGGGGATCGGCAGCGCAGAGCACAAAGTGCTCGAGCAGGGGAATGGATCCCCCGAGAATTCTGGAACCCAGGTGGGGAAAATTTTTCACGAAGTGAAAAATTCGGGGTTCCCCCATAGATTCGATGAATATTCGAAGAATATTCGAGAATAACAGAGGCTTAAAAAATGCTCTTCAAAAAACCGTCTTTAGAAATCAAGTGTTAATAAAACATCTTTTCAAAATTTGGAATCTATATGTTTTTGAAATATATAGGTGCGTTTAAATTTTAAAAACCGTCTTTAATAATCAAGTGTTAATAATCAAGTGTTATTAAAATATCAGTAGCAGCGCGCTTTATAGTCAATGGTATATTGGATTAACTAGTGGTCTTTAACCATGGTCTTGAAACTCAGCGCGTGGTATAAATATTCTTTAATAATCAAGTGTTAATAAAGCATCTTTTTAAATCGTTGTGTCGGGCGATAAATTTCAGGCAACTAAGCCTGAAATTTTGAGCGCAACAATGTCATAGATGCTCTTTAAAAAAATATGGAATCTATATGTTTTTTTTTAATTTGTCTGTCAAGCGTGTGTCACATGTACATGTTTAACAATGTTTTATATAATTTTTGTTAAAAGTGTTTTTACTAATTGTTTCAGGATTTTGAATCTTTTTGTATATCGCTTTTGTATTAATTACTTATTACAAACAGTTATCATTATAACTGTTTGTTAATATTTAGTTATTTGAACCGATATTATAATGACCATAAGCTAATGTTGTTACACCATCATCTAATATATATCGTTTATCATCAAAACAGCTGAGTGATACTTTATTAATTTCATAACTACTAAGTTGATGGTTTACACTTCTAATAGTTTTCATTGTATGATGCATTTGTTTGTTTTCAAATAGTGTTGTTTTATAGTCTTCATGTTTTATTTCACTCTTAATAATATTTTTCTTAATTCGTTTAGCTTTTTTATCTCCTTTATTATTATCTTTAATATAACTATACATCTTGCTTCTTAAACCAACAAATTCTTTAACTACTATTCCAGCAGCTTCATCTTTCATTTTACCAATAACTTTTTTATTAGTTTTATCATGATATTTATGGTATTCTGGGTAATCACTAAAATCAAATTTATCTTTATCAACCCAAAAATCTTTATAGACATCTTCAGTTTCGATTTCATATGTTAAACTATCTGTGTCTGTGAAAAGAAGTTTAGCTTTATCACCATACCGCTTTTTGATATAGTTGTAATGAAAATCATACATAAGAACTTTACTCAAATCTAAGATACACATGCCAACATATGCTGGTCTATTAAGTGTTAGTGTTTCTTTGATCTTATGCACAGCCACAAGGTTTTCATTAAAGATTTTACTACTTACATAAGTAGGTTTTGAAGATAATTTTAATAATTTATTTTTATTAGTTACTAGTCTAACATCTATTCGTTTCCTTAAGTTTTCCATAGTCTTACCAAATACCGAATTATTCATTAATTTGAAGAAGTCTTTTTCAAAAGAATTTTTTGCATTAGTTCTTTTTTGAGTATTAAAGTCTATATATTTTTTCAACCATGGAGATTGATTAAATTCAAGTACTCTATGTACTTTAGTTAACTTTAAACCAAGATCTAAGTATAGTTGAAGATTTCTATAATGCAGCACATACTTTTCTTTATTTTGTAATGTAGGTATTAATTTTGAAACTAAACCTGTTGATATATTGTAATTAGAAGCAATTGTCTTACAATATTTTGACAACATATCGCTTGTTACCTTAACTTTTTCCGGTGGAACAGGATAACCGTTATGTAAATCATGTAGTTTTTCAGGGTATTCTAAATCAACTTCTAAAATTAAACCTTTTTTACTATCTGCTTGATATTTAGCAAGGTTTATGTTGTTAATCTGTTTATCAGTTAACCATTTGAAATTACCAGTAGGTAAGTTTTGTGACATAGCCCAGCCATACAGATTGTTAGCATCTAAATACATTAAATATTTTGATGGCTTATTATTATCAAGATGATTGATATTTGTTATTAGCTTTACCATATCGATTAGAAATATAACTAACACCTCCTCTCATACCCTTTTCAATGAATTGAAACATATCAATATCTGTCATTAATTCTAATTTAATATCTGTCATCTTTAACATAGCATCCCAAGACAACCCAGGAGATGTGAAATAGTGGCATGGGTCTAATTTATAATATTCAAGACATGTTTTCGAAAGTTTTCAAATACATCAGCTAATAACAAAACGTCTGATTTCAGATACAGGTCGTGATACTCACCCATGTTTTTTAGATTGAATGTATTCCACACTTTTTGTGCATGATGGTATTGTTCATCTGATATATTATCAGCAGTAAGAATACTATAAAAGTCTTTTTGAAGGTAATTTTCATCAAACTTTTCAAAGCTATCCATATAATCATATGGGTATATACCTTTTTGAGTCATTAAATTAAATTTTTCACCTTGAAACTGCTTATAGGTATATTTAAATGAATCTTTAGGTAAATTACAAACAAGCTTTTCAAGACTAGAGCTCATAAATTGAAAACTATCAAGAAATGTTAAATGGTTTCCTAACATAAAAGCCATATACTTTTCCATATTATTAGGTATAGCATTTATATTCATATGCGTTTCTTCACCTTTGTTTTTGTATGTATGCTTATTAACAATAGCTCCGATTTCTTGCATAATAAAATGGCTGTCATACCCACGCAGATTGTGAAATATTACTGGGATTTTAAATTTATCAGAGTCTATTCTAAGTTTTAAATTACAATCTTGATGAGCTGACCCTCTATATTTTCCAGTGATATGACAATGGTCTCGAACTCGAATATCTTTGTTAGTATATTTTTTGTTACAGATATGACATTCATCAGCTTTTTTAAATTTTTCTTCATCATCAGAGGTCATTTTTAATGGTTTATTAAAGTAGGTTTTCATAATATTTTTACAATATTTAACTTCTTTTAACATAGCTTCCATAAATTTGTAAACAGCCTTTTCACCCCTATATAGTTGAATTGGTTTCGTGAATTTATCATCATAACAACAAACAACTTTATATCCATAACCACAGTCTGTATGTTTCTGATAGGCTTCTGTATATGATTTTTTATTATTTTGGGTACAATTAGATATCTTTTCTGTAATAGCCTCAAAATCGCTATATATTACAAATGGTACTTGTTGTTGCTTATGATAGTTGTTGAAGTTCAGTATGTTATTATTTTTATCAGGCATTTTTACTGCTTGTGTACCATTTATTAATATACAGTTTTCTATATGGTTATTTAATATTTTTTCAGAACTAAAACATTGAAGGCAGCGTATACAAAAATGTTTCCTTTCCTTATGCTTTGTATGATTATACATAAATGCATTAAAATTTTTTATTAGAATATAATGTTTGTTTTCATTATCAGTTATCAATAGTAGTTCCATATGGTCTTCAAATTTTTCTTTTGAAATGAATAATGGATATGGTTGTTTATCTTCATAACCGAAAACGTTAATGTTAATTCTGTTTTGCTTTTCGATTTTATTATAATGTTTAACAGTCACTGGAAAATCAACCCCTTCATAATTAAGCTTTTTAATATATTCCTTATCAGATTTTTTAATCCTTTGTGGGTATTTATTTTGTGGGTTAATATGTCTAATATGACACCATCTAAAGCATTCATTATCTCTATTTTTGATATTTATCAAACCTTTTTTACTATTTTTAAGTTCTTGTGGTAAATTAATGTATGAAGATCCTTGTAATGGCTTGTATTTAACAACATTAAGATAATGATTATCTATAGAACGAATAAGCCATCCAGAACCTTCTTGTGTATATTTATCAATCTTATTTAATATATTTTTTTCTGAAATTTGTAAGGATTCATTGATTTTATTAGAATTAGTAATTGTTAAAGCTGGACTGTTGAAATAAGCAATTTTGTTAAAAACCAGCAGTACCACCATCTTTTATTTCAAATTTTTCAAATGTTACCTTAAGCGTTTCAACAAATTTAATCCTTTCATTGTTGTTAATAATTCTTTAATATAATATGTAAGATACTTTCTAGTGTTCTGTAATTGTTTTAATGGATCTTTTTTGTTAATAATGCTTATTTCATATGACTTTGTATAACCTTTAAGAGCATTGTTTGTTTCTCTTATTTTAACTCTTGGTGTTGGTATTGGTTTTTTATTTTTATCTGATAGCATCTGTGTATTGTTCTCATACTCTTTAATCATCTCTTTTACACTCTTTCTTGGTTTTGGGATTGGTGTTAATACTTTGATTAATTCGTTTTTTCTAAGTTTATAATAACCTTTAACCTTTTTTTCTTTAGCAATAACTTTTAACTGAGTTACAGTCATTTGTTTGATATTGGATTGTGATAGTACTTTTTGTACTGGTTTGGAAATTGAAGTATTATTAACTTCAACCCACGGCTTTTGATTTAATATTAAATTAATTAAATCGTCTTTAGTCAAC